AAATTCTTTATTTAGTGTTTCTTTGGAACATTTTAAATATCTCTTATGGTTTGTACGAAAAAATGAAAACTCTAAATCAATTCAAGGATAATAAGATTGCAGAACGAAAGTTAAAAATTAAGTAATGAAAGTACATGCAGTCATTTTGTAAAATAAAATAGTATATTAAATATATGTGAGTTTAAAGCATGACTAATCATATGCGTTGATTAAAAAGTCATCTGTCCATGTGTCGTGTGTGCAATGGTATTATTCGTTCTTCATTAAATGTCGAACACATTCGCGATTACCGACAGATGACTCTTTAATTAATGCTTATGATTGGTTATACTTAAAAATCTTATATACTTGAAATATTACTTTATTTTACAGAATGGAACGCATTAGTACTTAATTTTTTACAAACTTCCGTGCTGGAATTTTAGTATCTTCGAATTTCGGTGTATATACAAGCTTTGGTTATGAATTTCTAAAGCTATAGCATCGCTTCTGTAGTAAAATTAATAGTTAAGGCAGTAAAAGTTACTTAGCAGTAGCAGAGAAGTTTATAGAGTCACAGCCAAAACTTTGAGTACCCATAATTAGGATTATTTGGTTCTGTAGCAAAAAATGAAGTTACATTCTGCGAAGTCTCATATATCCCTAGCAGCAAAGATATGTTGCTACAATACCTAAGTACAAATAGTAAATAAATTTACCTCGGGCAGCAACAGTATTAGCTGTCCCTATTTTAAAGACACATTTTAGCTATTGCGGCTACTTTTTAGCTCCTACTGCTAATCTTTTTTTTCCGTGTAGATACGCGTTGTCGATATTATTTTTTATAGCCGCAGCTGCGCCTACGGCCTCTCGCCCGCTCGAACTTTCGGCCTTTCGACCTGACGTACGGCTTCGTATTTGAATGGGGTACGCCGGGCGCCAGGCCGAAGTGCTTGACGCTCTCGCGAGCGTTGCGCGGTCCTTGCATCAGGACCGTGCGCTTTCCGGTCGGGGCGCGCAACGCCAGCTGATCGAACGTGATAATCTCGCCGCCGGCCTTCAAGATGCGTGCCCTGGCCTTCTCGGTTACGCGTAAAGCGCACACCTAAAAAAATAATACAAAAAAGTTGTCACACGATGTAACACGTAACACTAAAGCCAGCGGCACACGACGCTCTTTTTACTCGCGCGCATCTTCGCTGGCTAGCGAAAGCCAATCAGGATTCCACGCGATATACTGAAAAAACAGGCTTGGTTATAATAATTCAAGCTTGGTTGACGTTACCTAGGTCTATGGTGAAATAGTTTCAACCAAACGCACAGGTCGTTATGACGATACAAAGTGGTTGGAAGTTGAAACATTGCAGAATTCAGTTGGCTCCAGTAAATGCAAAATTTACTCTCTCAAAGTGTTCACAATTACCAAACGTTTTGCTGTTAATGTCAAATTCAGTAATGACCGAATTTTTCGAAAATATATTACTACATGCACCTCGCAAGTTTATCTAGAATTTTTCTTCAGTGTAGGTGAGATGAGTTTAAGAGAAGCAATAGTGTTTAAAAGTCTCTTCTTGAATTTAATATAAAAGAATTCATTGTCTATTGAACCTTATTGATCAAGTCTCATTTTGACTTGCATAGTTGGCAAAGAAGTACCTTAAGATTGCATCCTGATTGGCTCTCATCAGCTAGCGAAGATGCACGCAAGTAAACCAGCAAGCAAAAAAGCATCGTGTGCCGCTGGCTTAACAGTACCATTTCATTTGTCGCACAAGTTTTTTAAGCGCGTTGATTAGGCACAAAACAGTAAGACTCTCGAGCATATACACATTGTCCATCCAGCAGCCAATTAACCATACAACTTTACATGCTATTCCCCTTCCATGTCTATAAGTTCTATGCAATTAACACACTTAAAATGTAGCATGACAAATGAAAGTCCAGTCTTAAGCCAGTGGCACACGATACTTTTTTGTCGACTGGTTTACTCGCGCGCACCTTTGCTGGCTAGTGAGAGCCAATCAGGATTCCACGTGATAGGTCAGATTAGTTAAGATTGCGTCCTGATTGGGTCTCACCAGCTAGTAAAGGTGCACGCAGGCAAACCAGCAAGCAAAAAAGCTACTGGCTTTAGGCGTCAGAGCGCCAATAGTCGTTTACCGTCAACTTTGGGATTTCAAAAATCCTGGCATCGTCAGTGACGGTGCCGACGATCACGGCGATGCCATTCTCCCTTCCGGGTTTCTTGATAAACCTCACGACTCGCGCCAGCGAGATCGGCGGTCGGTTGATTTTGCTCATGAAGAGCCGTTTGAGAATAATTTTGTTGAACTTGGAATTTGTTCGTCTCGCCAAGAACCGGTACAGCTGCAACAAAGCGTCCGTTATTCAACTGCGATTCCAAGCCCCCAAGTTCTCAACCTGCAGTCTTTTTAGGGACCTGACGAGAATGCACAATTTACCACAAACTCGTACGAAGAAACTGATCGCAGAAAATATGTACAAGCGTCCCGTGAACATTCTATCAAGTTTTAATCTTATAAGAGAAGCGGTACGATTAAAAGGTTCGAGAACCATGACCTAATTTGCATCGTGCGCTTGATGCGCATATCAAATGCAGGGTGTACAGCAAACTCTGTGAAAACAATTCCTTGACTTTTTCAGGTTTTTTTCCAGGAGTCGGAGTTAATTTTTCCCTGATCGTTTAGTGTAACTTTTTTCACGATGCATAATTTGCGTACATCTGTACGGTAAATCAAGTAAATGTTAAACGATGAAGTCCTTGAAATATTTTTCTCGGGAAACAAAAGTCCGGAATTTGAAAAGATAAAAATTTAAATTAAAGCAATTATACCATCTATGTATAATACAATGTGCAATAGAAACGAACATATCGTTACAAATCGTTCGAACCATTTGTGATACCGTACGTAATCATATATGCTTTCATTTTGCTCAAGTGCATTTTGTCTGCAACTTACTAGATAGTAACTTACTTAGATAATACCGTCTAGTAATTCATCTCTTTTTAGTTTTGTCTCAGTCGAACACATTGAAATAAAATAACACGACGATGAAAATATAAATTACCGATCACGCTTATAAATAAATTGACGTCTAGCAAGTCAGAAAATTAGCGTACTGAGCTACAGAAAAATTTATTTTCTAAAAACTTTAAATTATTCAGAAAAAATGTGAAACAATGTAAAAAATCCAGATAAATCGCAAAATTCATTGACTTTTCCCGGTTTTCCAGATTTCCCTGACCACTGGACACCCTGAAATGACATATTTGAACTGATCAGCCAATCACTAAGGCCCAGCTTTACCAAACGTCGTTTAACTTCAATCTTGGTTTAATTCACGCTTGTCTCTTTCTAAAGTAACAGTTGGAAAGAAACAAAGAACGAATTAAGCTAAGCTTAAGGTTAAGCGACGTCGATGGAACCAGGTCTAAGGCTAGTTTCACAAACGTTGGTTAACTGTTAACCCGAGTTAACAGTATCGACTCCGTATCTTTTTCTATCTTGTTGCCTGAGAAGCGCGAAAGAACCAATTAACTTTTGGTTGGCAGTTAACCAACATCCGTGAAACTGGCCCTAAATAAATTTACTAGCCATTTACTACTCATTACTATTCGACACGCGTATCAAGCGCACGATGTAACCTAGGTCTACGATTACAGAGGATTATTCGGAAGTCGGAACATCATGTATCAACTATGGGCGTTTTCCAGCAACCCAGGTAGCAAAATGATATCAAAATGTCAAGAAAAGGATAACTAAAAAAAGACACGGATAACTTTTTAATTGGCAGAAAAGATACCTTTAGGATGGCAAATAGTATCACTTATGTCCGCTTGGCGGATAACGTATTTATGTCCGAAATGTA